AATGCGTGTTACTTTAAACAAGTTGTATTTAGGTTTAAATATTAGAGATGACAAAATAGTGAGACAGGTTCAAGTCATAAAACATGCATAAGACTGAGGAAGAAGAGGTAGATGATAAGAATGACAGAAGAAGAAACAATATAGTTCTAAAACATTTCTCTAAAAAAGCTTTCTTTGTGTTGGCTTTCCATCCATGGTTACCAAAATACCTGACACAAACCACTTGTAGAAGGAAAGATTTATTTTGGTTCATGGTTTCAGTCTATGGTTGGCTGGCTCCATTGCTCTGGGCCTGAGATGAGGCAGAACATCATGGATGAAAGGTGTGGCAGAGGAAAACCACTCAGCTCAAGGCAGCTGGGAAGCAGAGAGGAAGGGACCAAAGATATAGTCTCCAAGGGCATACCCCAAATGAACTGCTTCCTCCAACCATGCCCCTCTGCCTTCAGTTTCCATTACCTCCCAATAGTCCACTGAAGTTACTAATTCATCAAGTGGTTAATCCTCTGATGAGGTCAGGATTCTCATCATCCAATCATTTTTCAAAAGCCCCACCTCTGGACATTATTGCTTTGGGGACCAAGCCTTCAACATATGAGTTTTGGGGGACATTCCAGGTGTAAACTCTAGCACTTTTTAATAAAAAAAGTCTTTTCTTTCAGGTAGTTTTAAAGCACAGGTTATACCATTGTTCTGTAGTTCAACGAACTTCCTGATGGTAAATAATTTGGACTTTGTGGGTCATACTGTCTTTGCCACTAGCAAATAGTGCTGAATTGTTCCTTGAAAACAGCCACATGACATGTAAAAAAGTGGTTGTGAATTGGGTATGGTGGTGCATGCCTATAATCCCAGAAGCTCAAGGAAGATGAGGCAGGAGCATCATGAATTTAAAGCCAGCCTCAGCAACAGTTAGGTACTAACCAACTCAGTGAGACCCTGTCTCTAAATTAAAATACAAAATAGGGCTTGGGGATGTGACTCAGTGGATGAGTGCCCCTGAGTTCAATCCCCATTCCAAAAGGAAAAAAAAAAAAAAAAAAAAAAAAAAAAGTGGGTGTGGCTGTTCTAAGAAAACATTCATTTACAAAAACAGGTGGCAGCCTAAATTTAAAGTAAGGGCCATAGTTTGCCAATTTTTCTTCTAAACTAGCACTATCCAAGAGAAATATAATGTGAGTCATATGTAATTTAAATTTTTCTAGTAGCTACATTTATAAAATAAAAATAGGTGAAATTAACTTTTTTTTAAAAAATATTTTTCTTTAGTTGTAGATGGACACATGACTTTTTATTTATTTATTTTTATGTGGTACTGAGGATTGAACCCAGAGCCTCAAACGGCTAGGTGAGCACTCTACCACTGAGCCACAACCCCAGCCCTGAAATTTTTATTTAACCCAATATATTAAAAATTTTATTTTAACATGTAATCAATATAAAAAAACTATTTAGATATATTTCTTTTGCAACTATTGGAGCATTATAGTTATATTTCAAGTGATCAATAGTCACATTGGGTATGGGTACCAAATTGGACCATTATGTTCTAAATTTTCCAAGACAGGAATTCTACAACTAATTTACAGTTTAGTGACACAGTGTTGGGATTTGGATTTTGAAAGATAGGGGATATGATTATATTGCTCTAGGGAGTACAGGACCAGGGATTAAAGCTACTGGGACGAAATATGTGGTGTCAGTCACTTCAAGCTGAGGTGGCCCAGGATTCTAAAGCACAAACTGATAACTAAACTAATAATGCAGTCAGATGATGTTAGCATCACTTAGCAATGCAACAAACCAGATGTCAAAAGACATGAGACATTAGACCATGGAATGATGACAAGTGAGAACCCATTGCTGTAATCTCTGGCTTTCAGTAAACAATGCCAACCATCCTAAGTATGACTAGTCTTCAGAACTTTGACCACAGCAGAATTGGAAACATAAGTGTGTGATTTGGAAGACAAAATTAAGACCTACTTAGCAAGGGGAAAAGCTCCAAACTTAGACTGAATTTTAAAAATGATTTCAGAAGCCAAATGCTTTTTCAATTATTTTTGTTTAACAGTTTAATACAAGTCAGCAATAGTTTAAAAAGTTACTAGAGGGTGATCATAAGCCTTACCTTTGGGAATCTTTTAATTATTTAAATATAGCTATCTAATCAAATCAACATTTCTAAGATAAGAACAGACATCATGTATACTTAATAAAACTTAAAGGCAAGTGTTTTTAACAAAAAATTTATTACCAAAATACAATATTAAAGTCAATACATGACAAACTCCTGTAAAGCAAAATAAATTATTCTAACATTGTACAGTATTTCCAAAGGTAGTTAAAGAAGCGCTATAGACCTTGCTTCACTGTTCTGAACAGATAAACTGTTCTACCATGAACACAATCCTAGAGTTTCAGCTTTAAGGCATGCAGCTCAATGTGCAGGATAATTTTACAAAATGCAAATCATCCTATTTTTAATAAGATACAGTGTCAGAATTAACTGTAGTCTTTACATGTCAGTGTTCCAGAAACTTTTATACTTTGGCTATAGAAGCAATGCCATAGTGTTACACAATACTTATTTCTTAAAAAAATACATGTATTCATGTCCATGAATATCAAACTCAAATTTCTATTAAATATATTTTATAGAATATTACTTAGAGCACCTTGCTGTACAATAAAAAAAGATTAAATAAGTGTCTATGAAAACTAAAAATATAAGTCTCATAGAGAAGCCTGCTTGTCTTTGCCAAGCCAAGTACGCTACAGGAAGATACAATGTAAACATGGATGCCCACCATTTGCTTTGTGAGAAAAAAACAGAAAATCATTATAAAGCCATCAACAGCTACCCTGAAGAAGATGAAAGATCTAAATCAAAGGCTTCAGTCAGTGTCACACACACACTGTCTGGCCATAGAACTTAAGTCTACAGATCAAGAGGAATATAAGCACAGTACTGTTGGAACACTGGAGACACCAACCACACTCTGGATTATTAAAGAAAGGGAGAAAACATTAGAGCCCTGAAAAGTGTTATTTATAATGATCAGAATGCATTATCTCCCTGATTCTCACCTTTGCTGAATTTAGTTTCTTTTAAAACTATTTTCACTATCAAATCTTAGAACTGTTAAGTGTTCAGAGCAGAAAACAAACAGTATGAACTCTATATGACAAAATGTCTAGTAGCAATAAGTAATTATTCCTATAAAGGGATTCCCTATTCATTATTTTAATAACTCTTTTCTACAATTATAATTGCATATTTAATCTTCATTATTACTTTTAGAAAACTCAATTGTTCTTGGCAGAAACAGTTTTAAGCCTTGCCACAAACTAATATTGGGAAGATTTAAAATATTCTTGGTACATTTTTTTCCTCCTGTAGGCCAAGAGAAAGTTTTTATGGACAATTGAAAGCCAGAATTAGGTGAAAGTTTAAGGGGGCTGAACTTCTGGGTTAACTTTTCCCTAAGGGGTAGGGAATTAAATTCATGATTTCAAATGGAATATTTAAGTAACAATCAAAGGAAGTGGTTTAAGAAAATTAAGAAAGGCAATTTAAAAAGTCACACTTGAAATTTTGGGATTTTTTTTTGCGGGGGGGCGTTATTAGTATTTTCCAAAGGATTATGGAAAAGTAAAGCCAAGGAAAATTCTTCTAAGATTGTTACTTTTCTATATGGTTCAATTCTGAAATAGGAGAAAATGCATTTATTTAAATCCATGTATAGTGGATTTGGGAAATATAGTTTAGTATATATAAATTCATTTTATCTTTTCAAAAAGCATATATCAGAAATGAATTAACTTTCACAAATAAATTAAAGCTACCTAAATCAAAGAGCTGCAAAGTTACAGCCAACTGTATGTTTGAATATCATCATCAAAATGAGAAAAATAAAAACAAATTAGACAGTGTTTCAAGATGGCTGGCCCCACTTACATAGTTCCTAATGCTATCTTAAAAATATTAATTCATTTTATTTATACCTGGACTTGGGAGCAAAATTCTTTCTGAAAACTTTGCCTATATAGTATTCCATTCATGAAACTCTTGCTTTTGGTGTTCTAAATTTATCAGAGTCACAACCTCAACTCTAAATGTTAGAAATGGATATTCAGAATGTTCATCTGATATAGCACCATGAAGATGGCGCACTGAATGGTGCACCTGCCTTTTGACTGGAGGCAGAATTTAACAAAAAAAATAATGTATAAATAAGTGATCAGAACTACAAAAACAAAACACCCTGTTTTTTTTCACCCACTGAAACAATAATAATACAAAATATGTAATTAATGAGAAACTTATGTGTATTTGACGGCAAGTTTTACTGCGACAGCACATTTACTTAGTTTTCCACATCACACTCTAAACAGAATTTCTTAGAAAGAAACCCTATAGAATTGCCAAATTCTGTTTGCTAATTAAAATTTTTACAAACAACTTGAATTTTTACTATATTTTGGTCACATTTGGTTATTTCTCTTCTGCTAAAAATATAACTAAATTAATAAACTTCAGAAAGGAAAATCTCAACAGCAGTACTAAGTTTAAGAGTCCTCTGAATTTTCTCCCTCAACTTCATTTTTATCTTAGTGTTCAAACTATTGCTAAGGCCTGATGTAATTTTTCCATACTCTGTTGCTGCTTTTAGAGACTCATTCAAATAACAAGGAATCCTCACTTAGCACTGAGGATCAGAAAGCCTATTTAACTATCAAACGTATGCTGTGTTCTTCCAGACACTCTGAAAGGAACCTGTGAGAAGTGCCCTGCTGTGCTCAACTAGTCACCAGTTCTGTGAACTTGAGATTGATTTGAGTCTGGTTGGAATGAACCCATTTCTTCCTATTCCTACCAAAAACTCACTGTAAATTTAAGACAACAATTTACTTCTTAAATGTCTATTTATAATCCAGATTTGGTTTAGAGGTCTTTCTTTTGTTTTTGGGAATAAAGGAACGTATTCCACATTGAGTATATGATAAATCCAGGGGAAGATTTAAGTGGATCATTTCAAAGCCCTCTATCTGCTTCCTTGTAGACTCTGAAAAAAACCCCTCTAGAAGCTATGTGCCATTCTCACAAGAGACCCAGCGATTCCAGAGCTCGCATGTCAAAAGTAAACACAAGAAAGTTAAGCTCTGCTAAGACTGTGACACTTTTATAACAAGTTTTAGAAGAGTTCCTGAAAAGCCCTTTCTTAACTTTTGCTTGCATGTATGTCTAAACTATAATAAGCTTTTAATAATAAATACACTCAACACTAAGAAGGGGTGACAGAGGATTAATACCGATTACATCTTTGTTCCTCCTCAACCCACTTCCCCTCACTCAAAATATTTAAATATTACTGTTTATCCATTTGGAATTCATTTTATTACATCACAAGTTTGGTTCCAAAGTCACACCTGTCACTTCCTCTCACACCAACTAGTTTTTCTGCATCTAGTAGGTTAGTTATCTGACAGCACAAAGGTGAAACTGTGGTTAACTATTCCAGCTAATTTGTGTTTACAGCTGTGCTGTGGTCTTTATTTAGGATGATGTTTACAATTTCACCCTCATGCTCTTTCATATGATCCAAGAGATTTTCTTTGCTGGTTGATTCAAAACCACAAATGCAACAACAGAAGAGCAAAACGCAATACTCCATTCCAGGAGGGGCTAGACTGGAGTTCTTTTCTAAACTATATGAGGTATTATTCGTAGGGCTCAGTTTCTCATTCTCATTGGGATCTATGACTTCACTGGGTGCTTGGGAAATCAGCTCGGAGGATGACACCAAATTTTCTGAATTTCCAGTGACAGGATCGGCTCTCTCTTCACTGCTGTTTAATAGAGTTTTTCCAGAGGATTTCCCCAGAACTCTTCAAAACAAAACAAAACACACCAGACCTTGAGTGGGCTACCTATACTGTAGGACTAGTAGTTTTAATTCTAACTTTAATTCATATACAGTAATAAAGGGAGGGGGTAGAATCAAATACCTGCCACTTTGTGAAATTGCATCATTAATAGCCTTGTTTACTTGTTCATAGTTGTAATTTTGGTCACTTGCATGCTTCCACATATGAGACTTCAAAGACGGAGGATGGCTGCACACATACCCACATAGAGAACATCTGAAAGACAGATAAGAGAAAAATCAGAACACTCCCATGATGTTATTCAAAATTTAGAATGATCTCTAATAATGATTATAATCCTTCTGCAGTTTTACTAGATATATCATATTTCATGGAATCTCAGATGACTAGTTCTAAGAGATATGGGATTCAGTCATAAGAATGATATTCTAGAGTCAATAAATAAAAGAGGCATTTTATAGAGAACTTACAGGAATCAAGACATCTTGGATTATTTCAGTTATTATATGATCTTGAAAATATTTCTAACAGTAACATATAAAATCTTGACTCTATATTATTTAACAACATACATAAAGAAAACAAAATTAACATTTTATATCACTATATTACTACTTTGTGTGTATGTGGGGGTGATACAGGGGATTGAACCTAGGGACACTTTACCACTGAGCTATATCCTCAGTCCTTTTTTTTTTTTGGTAGTGGGGGATTGAACTCTAGGGCACTTGATTACTGAGCCACATCTCCAGCCCTATTTTGTATTTTATTTAGAGACAGGGTCTCACTGAGTTACTTAGCACCTCATTTTTGCTAAGGCTGGCTCAGAACTCTCAATCCTCCTGCCTCAGCCTCCTGAGCTGCTAGGATTACAGGAGTGTGCCACAATGCCTGGCTTACCCCAGTCCTTTTAGGGGAAAAAAAAAAATTTTTTTTTTTTTTTAATCTTGACACAGGATCTTGCTAAGTTGACTATGCTGTCTTCAAACTTCCTCCTCAGCTTCCCAAGTTGCTAGGATTATGGGCATGTGCCACTGTACCTGGCTATACCACTCTATTTCTTAATCAAGAAAGGCAAAAGGAAACCAAATGACTTACAACATGAACTTTGAAGATCCACAGAAAATGGAAGTAGTCATGAAAAAGTTTCAACAATTTAGATTTCATAAATATAATTGTCTTAATATCTTGCATTAGTAGTGTGGTATATTTGTTAAAACTGATGAACCAATATCAACACATTTAAAAAAAATATTAGATCTAATTCACAATTTATACTAGGGTTCTGTTTGTACTGTATAATTCTGTTTTGACACCATGACAGTGTTATGCTAGTTCCACTGTCCTTGAAATCCCCATGTTCTATAGACATTGAGCTATCCTTCCTGCCCCTCAATTATAGGCAACCACTGATCTTTTTATTATCTCCACAGTTCTGCCTTTTCCATAATGCCATATAATTGGAATCACAACAATACGCAATTAATGTTTTTCACATCTTTTAGTGGATTGGTAGTCCTTGTTTACTGATAATAACAGATATTGTTTGGATGTACCATAGTTTCCTTATTCATCCACCTCCTGAAAGACATCTCAGTTGCTTCCAATTTTTTTGCAATTATGAAAACTGCTATGAACATTCATATGCAGGTTTTATGTGGATAAAAGTTTTCATCATATGGGTAAATACCTGAGGGCTTAATTGCAAGACTGTATTATAACACTGCTTATCGTTTTTTGGGGGGGGGGCAGGGGTATTGGGGCTTAAACTCAAGGGCACTCAACCACTGAGCCACATCCCCAGCCCTATTTTGTATCTTATTTAGAGACAGGGTCTCACTGACTTGCTTAGCACCTCAATTTTTGCCGAGGCTGGCTCTGAACTTGAGATCCTCCTGCCTCAGCCTGTGCCTGGCAAAACTGTTTATCTTTTTAGGAAACCACAAATGTAGTTTTTCACAAATATTTCTCTTAAAATATAATTAGAAAATCAAATCAGATAACTCAATTGAACTCTTCCCTAAACCAATAAGAGACACGGTCAACAAATCTAAAGGCATAAGAGTAAAATGAAACCATTAAATATGGGGAAGGAATATAATCTTATTCTAACCCACCACCTCTAATTTAACTTTATGATGGAATGCAGCAATATTTCTATATTAACATGTTCTGAGGATTGGATCCAGGGTCATCAGACTTTGACTTTACAAAATACCACTTTAGGTTTATTTTTTATTTTTTGGTAATTGTAGATTGACAGAATGCCTTTATTTTATCTGTTCATTTTTATGTGGTGCTAAGGATTGAACCCAGTGCCTCACACATGCTAGGTAAGCGCTCTGCCACTGAGCCACAACCACAGCCCTAGGTTAATTCTTGACAGACCTTTCAGCTGGATGTGGTGGCACATGCCTATAATCCCAGCAATTTGGGAGTCTAAGCCAGAAGGATTGCAAATTTGAGGATAGTCCGGCCAACATAGTGAGACCCTGTCACAAAATTAAAAAATAAAAAGGCTGGGGATGTAGCTCAGTGGTAAGCACCCCTGGGTTCAATCTCTAAAGAAAAAAAAAAAAAAGTAATTCAATTTCCCTATTAGTGAGGAACTGGCAAAGATGAGTAAGTCTGATAAGATTCTTCATAGATGTGGAAATGCACAATTGATCAAGAGAATGACATACCTGTAACCCCATAAATTCTTAGTTATCTACCCTAGAGACATTCTTGCACCTGTTTACAAGGATACACATACAAGAATGACTACTGTAGCAGTGAACAGAGTGGGAAAAAAGGACATAACCCATAATCAGTTCCTGCACAGGGCCACAGAAATCAATTGGTTTTTCTTCATATAATGCAAAATTAGAAAGTCATTAAAGTCAAAAGAACGAGATTTATACTTTTCACCATGAACCAATGTCAATAATAATCAGTGAAGAGAAAAAAAAAATTTTGTGTGGTGCACAATTTAAATATATTGTTTTAAAAAACCCAGTATGTATGTATAACCTGTAAGTTTATGTATATACATGTTTATATGCTGAACACACACACACAAAAACACATATACACACACACATACACACACAGTTATTTAAAAATGCCTGGAAATGACACATATCAACATCAGGAAAATGGGTTACCCTAGGAAAGAAGGGGTGAAGAAAAGAATAGATGAAGAAGAAAGAAAACGAGATTTTTATTTTTTGGTAGTGGGGATTGAAATTGAACCCAGGAACACTCAACCCCTGAGGCACATCAAAGCCCATTTTATATTTTATTTAGAGACAGGGTCTTGCTAAGTTGCTTAAGAGCCTCACTAAGTTGCTGAGGCTGAACTTAGCCTCCCAAACCACTGGGATTACAGGCATGTGCCACCGTGCCCAGCAAGGTCTTAGTTTTATCTACAATGTTTTATTTCTTCAAAATGTAGTAAAATGTTTTAAAATGTTCCTTTTCAAAAATACTTTAAAAAAATCATTAGCCTATTCTCTTTAAAAATTTATAGTTTGTATTCTAAGCCTTTAAGATTCTATAGCTAAAAAAAAAAAAAAAAAAAAGATTCTATAGCTAGCATAAGACTGTCACCAACTCACTGGCTACACACAAAAAAAGTAACCCTAATTAGATGCATCATATTTTAACAAAGCCCAGCTAATCTGTTTTTACTAATATGTTTATAAAAGGGCCGGCATGGTATCACCTCCACTGCTCAACCATTGAATATTGTGTCTGTATCTATTGTTTTACTGTCACACTATAGTGTGTACTACCATGTGCTCACAATCTCCCACTTAAGTGGCTCCAGATCAGTCCCTTGAAAAGAGTGATTGCCCTGAGCCACTGGGGCTTGGCACCCAGGTGACAATGGGCAAGAGATGCTATGTATTTCCAGCTAGTATCTCCACTAACTACAATGCTTCGATGTTGAATATGGCAACTTATAATATAAATACCTTTTTGATATGTTATACAAAAGGGAAATATACATCAAATCTTGTTTTTTAGGAATACTTGTGTCCTCACACAGACTACTGCCCAGAAACCTCAGCAGAAAACTTTTATCCACAATGAGCCACAGAATTCTGTGTACAGCAAAGGATCTCCTGAGTGAAAAGTCAGACTTATACAACCAGAATTTCATACTTTGGGAAAACTGGGTCAAAAAATATTAAAAATTTATCTTATAGAACATCTCTAATGTTACCAAAACTTATTTAAAAAATAAGGATGATGAGGTATTTAAGTAACTTTTCTTAGAAATAAACTTCTAATTTTAGAATAGTTACAGATTTACAGGAATACTGAGTTCCCCCTATTGTTAACATATTACATTCCTGTGTTATACCTGCCATAAATAAGGAACAGTGTTGATATAGTATTAACTGATGTCCATACTTTATTCAGATTTCCTGAACTTTTACCTAAATATCCTTTTTCTGTTCCAGAATCCCATCCAGTATTTCACATTGAGTCATCCTGTCTCTTTAGGACCTTCTAGACTGGAACAGTTCTCCTCAGACTTGCCTAGTTTCAATTGACCTTGACAGATGTGAGGAACACCAGTCATTTTTTAAATTGCCTCTCATTTGGGGTTGTCTAATGTTTTTTCAGTGAACCTGGGGTTATGGGTTCTTGGGAGAAGCACCAGAGTGGTGAAGTGCCACTGTCATCAACTCATACTATCAATGTGATTTATCATTGTGGATGCTGACCTCAATCACCTGGCCGAGGTCAGGTTTCTCAGTAAGTGACTCTTTCCACACTGTACACTTTGGAAGGAAGTGACCATTTGAAGCCCCTACTTTACGAGGGGAGTATTAGCCGCCTCTCTGAGGACAGAGTATCTATAAAAATTATTTGGAATTCTCCTGCACTAGTGATTTGTCTCTTCTCACCCACTTATTTATTTGTTCAATCATTATTTCTATCAATATGGGCACATGAATAATTACTTACACTGTTGGACAAAATTCAGTTCATTGCTAACATCATTCCAGCTTTGACCACTTTCCATTAGTCCCTCTGTCCTGTTGACTCTGTCATTTTGTTGGTTTAGTACTTTGTTACTTGCTGGTGCTACAAGATGCACAGGATTATCATTTCTTTAGTTTTTAACTAGTGAATGATATTAGAAACCTAGACTTGGGGGCTAGTGAACTACTTTCATTTTGTAGTGAGATTTTTTTCTGATTTCAAAAATTGATCATGTGGTGGTGCATGCCTATAATCCCAGGTGCTTATGAGGCTGA